CCACGGTGAATTCCGGAACGACGAACAGCAGGGGGAGAGAAGGGAGTGTACGATAAAACCTTAATGCTCTAAACATTCACTCGGGGTCACGGCGCCTACACCTTGTCGAAAACATACGGTCGCAAACAGCTGACTATGGTGTAAAGATAAAACAGCATCAACAAGACAGCTTCGTTGCGGGTCTCAATGTCCCGCGTCATAATGAGCCATTACCCCACAGAAAACTCAGCACAAAACACACTTTAAACAGGCAGTTTGAATAGGAAACGACGACAGACACGCCAATGGTGTCGACTGCGAGCCATGTCCCGTAACGTCTCAAGCCAAAAGATTAATTGTCCGCTGTACGTACGTCGTAACGGCGCTTCGCTGCCGTGCTACCACTACGTCGCGCAGGGGCTAAGTTTACCGCAAGGACGCCCACTCCTACGCGGATTCGAATCGGTGACCTTGTGGTTGCAAACCAGGTGCGCAGATCACTCGGCCACCGGCCGACCATGCACAAGGCGGGTCACGTGGACTCCAGCCTGGAAGGCGAAACGGACCGACGACACCGAGTTGAGTCCTTAGTGACTTCATTTCCTGCTGCCCACCTCGGGTTTTGCGCCACCCTACATCTAGCAGGTAAAAGAAGGCCCTCCTAGGTAAATGGTGGCCAGGCATACGTAGTACGTGTCCAAGCCAACGTAACTTATTCAGTGCTATCCTTTATTCTAAGGAACTAGCTTGATTATCATTGCCTAGTACTCGCTTACACACCTCATATTTGGCGGACACCAGCAATGTTTCGCAGACAACGATAATCAAAAATTTGAAGGCGCCGCGGGTCCTCGGATGGTTGACCAAGTCTCGATTCCATAGAGTCGGACGGCCCTTACTGTTTTCTTGTATACACGGCGTTTTAGACGGAAGGAAACCCCTTTCTGACACCACGGATGCCGTGGATTGAAGAAGGTAGTTCTGGCTTTTTCAATGTGTGAACTGACTTCAGTTGCTATGCGCTCATCGTTGCCGATGCAGCTGTCACGGTAGGTGAATCGATCAACTACCACAAATTCCTCGTTATCAATGCTTCAACATTGCCCTATCCCACCTTTTCCACTCCACTTTGTGATGGAAACATTCTTGTCTTGTTCTGTCCGTTCGCTACATTTTTGGTAGGCATTCTGTTTGGTTACCGATTATTACTTTTATGTTTCACTCATTGTGTAGCTCTCTTCGGATGCGATACAACTGTTACGTGAGCACTATTGGATTGGCTGACATGTATCTGCATGCACCTCGATATGTGTTTTGAACATTCTAACTACTAAGTTATCCTATGAAGCCGGGCCAACACATCGCCAGTATCCACAGTCATGGCAAGGCTACTAGAAGTTATCATTTGGTTTGCTTACCTAGGAAGCTGTGAGTGTGGTCGCGTTATCAACAAGGGAACTGGTGCACGTCTTATCAAAGGGAAAGGTTTTACATCCCCACGATCATATAGTTTAGAGGCATTATCAACACGCGCCTATAATAGTAGGATGCTGCCCATACCTGACCATGTATGCCCACGGAAGTATTACTGGTATTTGGTGGATGCACCGAATGAGGAATATCAAATTTCCCTATCTTAAATGTCGCATCGTCGTGTCCCTCTAACTCGAAGCGCATATAACGACCTAGGTTATGTGCTCCTCTTGTCTGCTGATCGATTGCCTCGTACATGGTTTGCTTATGCTATACTTAATTTAGTTAAGCTCCGAGATGGTCACTTTATGAAATGACAAAAGAATATGAATAAACTACCCGTAGGACCAAGTAGGGTCGATGCTTTTCACCTTCCTCATTGGGTCTTCGGGATAGGTTACACGAAGTGGTTGGACACTCCATGGGGTGTAACGCCATTGCGAATAGAGTAGCGCGCTTGAATTCATCCACTTACTTCTAAATCTTATCTGTCGCATCTCTCGACTTTACTTCATGTTCATTCCTCTGGAACTGCCACTGATAATAGCATCATTATTCATTTGGTTCATCACAATTGGATTACAAGATGAAAAGATGCGTTACTAATTCGAAAAGCACCAGACGATCGTTTCGTCCTATTGGGATCGTCAGTGGGGCCCTACCAGTCCTCAGAATGCTGTGTGGATTCACGGCCGCTGGCAAGGAAAGTCCTGACAACGGACGGCCAACCACTGTCCTCTGCACCGGCATGGCAATGAAGGATGGGCCGGCTTATACCGCGTTTGGATTTCATCGTCCTCCATGGCATAAGCTGATGATTAGTGGTGCAAAAAACTAGCGGTCATAGGTTCGATCCCCAGGAGTAGATCGAGGGCATGCGCACCACTGACGGCCATAATAGGACGAACCGACCGTATGGTGCCTCTCCGTATGGGTAGTTAACGTTTGCGGCCTGTAATCTAATTGCGATGAACCAACTAAATCATACCAAATCCGTCTACTCATAACATCTTTATTATCGTTATAGTGACCTGAGCCAATGCAGTTTTATCCATCGCGCTTTGACGCACGGAACAGTTTTTCTTCTGTAATGAACTTTGCGCTGCAATGCGTAAATTCCCACAGCCTGCTTATTGGCTAGATTTCCTCGTCATGGGCTGGAATAAATGACACCCGACCATCCAAAACACTTTGCCTGTGTGCTACACGTATCACAAACTGTAATAACGCATTGCATTTCTTTGGAACTGACTTTTTGCTTCATCCATATCGCACGCTGACTGCAGTTCCGCAACCTCAGTGTCGTTTTGAGAGCATCTGGTCGTTTTTCTCTTCTGGAACGTGGGCAAACGGGATGCACCTTTTTTGGCTGCCGCTTGTCTGCATTTTCAAGTGCGGTTTTCACATCTTTTCGTGCTTGTCACCATCATCAGTGTTCCCCTCCTTCCAACAGCCTTACTACCCATGCCAACTACCCAAGTCCTTTTTTGCAATTGGTTTCTTTTTGCTCCGCACATTTGCTAGCTTGCGGCGAACTTTGGTTAACTGCAGTCTTTCAATTTCCCACCTGATCCTTTTAACGTAGCTACGTCTCATCCGTTGTATCACACATTCCCAATGCCGCTCAAGGCTTTTGTTACTGTCGATGCCAACTGACTAAACTTGACCATCCAATTCTCCCTTTTTACTCCACCTACAACATCACAAGTACTCTGTGGTCTATTGTAGCTTAAACTCCCTTATTACTGGCTCGTACACAACTAGTTTTTTTCATAATAACTTCGCAACTGGTCTCCTCCGTTATTGGACACCTTAGCCAACCTAGCACGCCGCTAAGTCGACGGCGTTCCTGTATTCTGTTGCTTACCTCCTGCAATCAGCCCTTCCGGCAACTACAATCTGTATTCTTTTAGCGTTTTCTCGTTATATCATTTGTCCTACTTGTTTGCACTTTGCCACTTGTTCTTCATCATTGTCGCTTCTCATTATCTCGGTTATTGGACCCATCTCACTTCGTCAATCGCACCATAGTCGCGACCGTCCACCTAGGCACTGCTTAACGTGTCCCTTCTCGTCATTCCTGTCCATCCTTTTTAGTTTACAACATACATCTGCGTGTTGCCCTCATTTATGTGAGAATATTTGTTTGCGTGTACCGTCTTGTCTGTCCCTAATCGTCACAACCATCTTGGATTTCACCACCCGCCTATCTCTTTGTGATCGCTACTTTTCCTATGTGTTGAATATTCGCCTGCGCCTCAATGAACTGTGACATCGTTTCCCGTGCACAAGGAATAATCTACCTACTTCCTTCCTGAATGTAGTGTACAATGGTTAAAAACCCCTTCTGCCAGATGATTATACTTTCATAATTTCTTTCTCTTCGGTTTTTTGAATGCATGCTAGCGTTTTATTTCGTTCGTTTCCTTCTATTTCAATCAAAGATTACTTTTATTATGTCAGTATGGATAGTCTAGCCTTGACACACTTTTTCTACTTGTCCCATGCCTGACCGAGTGAACCGAACCGTAGCTTCTCACTTATCACTGTGGAGTTTTCCTTCTGTTTTCCTGCAACATGTGCTCTTAGGATGGGACCGCGATTTTATTAATTATACCTATCGTTTCCAGGTCAGGTAGGCTTTTATCTAGCCACTTCTATTAAAAATGATTCCATTAAGTTCAGAACTAGCTGCCTTTTAACTACTGAAGGCGTTTAGTATCCAGCTAACCTGACTATCAGCAACGCTCTTGATGACAATATGATATCCACTGATGTGTACAATTTTTTCAGGCCACTTGTTGCCTCATTTAGTGCGACAGTCACTAAATCGGACCAAACGTGTCATGTTCACTTTCATTGGCACTATCACAAGGCCAGTCACAGCTACATGCTTGATTGCTCATCATTACGTTAGCCAAGTTTCGGAATATTCTGAATAAATAAATTGTTTATTCTCGTTCATTGTGCTTACCTTGGTAGTGCCGGCCAATCGGCCACTACTTGGCAGCTATTTGACCGCACGTGACCTTGTCATTCTTGTGCATATCAGATGCACGCACGAAATGCCGACACCATCCCACAATCCGCCCTCGAATTTTCCTTCATTTTATTACATCATCTACTACTTTTTTCCAAAATCAGTGATATCCGCGTTGGCCTCCATTTATTATGATGGTGGTATCTCGTAACTAGCCCAGCCCATATCCTTTCCGGATTTGATTGGTGAAGTCTGTTTCAGCACCGTTTTCATGATCTTTTCCAACGTGAGGTCAAAATTTTCGATACCCTACTAAGGGTATAGCAACCTTAATACTGTATCGTTTCTCTCACATTCCTTTATTTGTTTACCGTAATGAATACGACTGAGCAACTTGCATTGATTCCGCAGCATTCATTAGAAGTGTTACTCACCCGAACAGTAATTTCGCACAACTGAGCAGAATACTTGCACCGTGTTTTTGTTTGTTACGCACCGCTAGCTGGAACTTTTTTTAATTGGCCAGTTTCCTTTGAATATTACATCTTCCATTTTATCTCTTACATAGTGTCCGATACTACCCACAATTCGGCCACTGTAGAGCGGGCTAAATTTCAGCACTGGGGCAGCGTTCGTGCGAGACTTGAAATCGCTATCGCCACTGTTCTGGAAAAGGTGCAACTGTTCCAATCGTTCCAACTGGAGAAGGCCAATCGCTCCGCTGCTAAGCCAACCCGTTGGTCCGTGATACCGACCGATTCGCAACCCAGCGCTCGCACTTTGAAGCACTCAGCCCCTCGATTGTCCTCTACTTTTAGTGATTTTGTATACGCCGGTGATCAGGTGTTTGGAACACGAATTTCCTTGCCTGTTCAGCGGTTGCATGGTACCCCATTTCGTCCCACTTTAAGCGATCGACAATCTTCTGTCACCTCATCCAACTTCTCTTGTAATCCGAGTGCGCATGGCTTTGCCTCAGGCAAACATACCAGGATGGCCTCTGTCCAGAACGATTTGGATACCGATGAAGTGAGTTAAGATCGAGTCTGCTCTTCACACCGCTATGTATGATTACTGATTTGTCTTCGCATATGATCACCACTCGCGGTTTTACAGAAAGCTGATCCGGCTCTGTGTTACTCTTGATTTTGTGTTTGGCTTATGCAACCTTTGGCACCGTCGCAGTCTCTTCAAGTATATTGATCACGAATACCCCTCATCATTTCCGTACTACGTCGGACGCGCACTGGTGAAACGCATGGTTGGCAGCGTCTGTGTCCGACTTTGCTCGTTACAGTAACCTACGTAAAATATAATAATGAGCATCGAAGGACATGCACCGCTTCGCATGCGGCCTAAGCCGAAAGCGTAACTGCGAAACTAGCCGACAGATTACGGATCTCCTTAAAGTTTCCTAGATACACCGCTTTGCTTCCGCTAACATAGCCCGGCTTGGCCAGTCCCATTTCACTTTTGGTGTTATTTTCTCCCCTATTTGTTATCTGATTATCACTGAGCAATACACTTTTGTGCCAGGCAATGCATTGTGGCGTGGTGTTTACATATTTTTAAACCGAACTGCTATCTATCCAAGTTATTTATTGTTGGGCTCATCACGGAGAATGAAATGTCCTAACCGGATCCCTGTCCTTTTCTAAGCAATCACTATAGGCTCAAAGTTGATCTTCGGAGCACTTACTGTGGCTTTGGATTGTGACACACAATCTCTATTTGGGGACTCGGTCATTCCGATCACCATGACCCGCTATTCGATGTGTGGAGGGTAGTTGTGATTGCTCGCTCCTAACACTGCACCCCACGACTGGTTTCGTCCTCATTTCAGGTCATCAACTAGTGATAGCTGCATCTGAAACTGGAGCTCGTAAGCTTTCATCGGAATAGTTGCAGAACTCATTGTACACAACATGGTCACAATGGCTTGAGATCTTTTGGTAAATCCCACAGAGAACTTTCGATCGATCAGTACTGTTTCACTATACCTCGTTTTCCTCCTTCCTCTTCTCAGTTTCTCTGCTCCGAAGCACAGCGAATGGTTGTTCGTGCCGTGCGCCGTCATCTTTGTCCTGCGCTTACCGAACTAATCGAACATGGATTGTTGAAGAAACCTTTGTCGACCATTGTTGAAGAGTCTTCCGGGAGGTTGCAACGCGCCGGAGTGCTGCTTCGACCGATCTGGAGCTGCTTAAGCACCCGCCACCAGACTGTGTTGGATGACTATATCGATCCGATTGACTCAGTCAGCGAACCACATGTCGGTCACAACCAAATGGCATTCTCTGGCCGTCCTTCCGCACACAGCTCTGGAATGCACGCATGGCACGTTCTACTCAAATATTACTACATGAAGGTGTGGAACCACATCTACTACTTTTCATCACGCTAGGATGTGGGAATTTTTTTTGATGCTACCTGCACTTCTTTCGCCCATTCTGCTTGCCACGTTAGTTCCTCTCTGACTCAGTATCCGAACCTTATGGTTTCCATCGTTTTCCTTGATTTATGAACTTGACCCTAGTTAGCCCTATCAATTGGCTGTCCCAGAACCTAATGAGCGCTGGGCTGCGATCAACCTCATTTGACTACAAAGCGAATTGGTATCTACCGTATGTGTTATGCTGTGTTGCTCCTCTGTTAATGTAATGTATAGCTGGCTCTTCTTTTGCGCAGCACCGGTTTACAACCTCAATTTCATTAGCCGAATGCTGTTCGTTCTTTCCATCCGTAGAAGCTAATGTGCACTTCTGTGATTTTTTGCTGTTTTGTCTTGTTGGACAATTGCTCCGCTATCATTTACCCTTGGGCGATCATGTTCAGTCTCCTGCGTTTTTAATCAACAGGGCGGCGATAATCGATTCATCTTATTCCGTCTCAACAGTTGTACGTCCAGCAGCGACACTTATCTTGAGAAAAGCGTCTTCCGAAAGGATTCTTGGGTTGGACAATATACGCACTTCTTGAGTTTCGTGCTTCTGAATTTTAAATGTGACTTAGTCCCGTGCATGTATTACCGTGCCTCCAAAATCTGCAGCCCGGAGACGCTAGTAGACGAGAAAGAACATATATTTAAAACGCTGCTCTCAAACGGTTTTCCCTACTCTTGTATCAAAAAACACGCTGTTGTTTGTGAACGCAGTGAACCCGTCATCACCGTTCCAAATATAGGATGTTTCTCACGGTTCCGTTTAAAGGTCACATCGCTTTCGATCTACTGAATAGATGACTTTCCGCTACAGTCACAAGAACATACCCAGCCTCAAATCCACACGTTCTTGCTGAGACCACTACATTTATTACTCAGCGCCTTAAAGACAGATTACCGGCTAAGTCCGAATCGTACGTGGTATATCAATTTACTTGCACCTGTGGTGCTAAGTACCTCGGATGTACGACCAGGCGTCTGTCGACAAGGGTAGCTGAGCACTGTCCCAAACGTCTACGAAATGGCACCGTTGGAAGTATCAGAAGTTTCATCCTTGAACATCTGGTTTAAAGTGTATACGAAATTCTGACAAATGATGCTTTCAACCTTTTCTACACCGTGTCAAAACCATATCCTAAGGGGATTAAGAGGTGCCTCCTTAAGATTGCGGGCTCGATAGCGATCAAGTTAACGCAACCGGAGCTTTGCAAGCAGAGGATGCTACTGCAATCTCACAATACCGTGGCCGAGATAAAAATCCATCCGCATGGAACATTGATGAGACCAAAGGTGGCATCACTTCTCAGCTGACCCAGTTTGCTTCGCGAAGTGGTCAGCGAACTGTGTCAAGTGGGGTCAAATCAGTCAGTTTTCATCGGCAACACAGGCTTTACCACTTGGCCCGATCGATTTAACTTCCGTCTGGGTAAATTCAGACTCTCTCCTACTTTCGTCTCAGCTTTCATTAGCTTATGCGTACCCAAGTTATCCTTGTAAACGTTTTTGCCTGATGTGTTGCCGAAAAGATCTCTTTGGAACCGTGTTTTATTACGCCAGTCGGTTTCGACCTGAACGCTGTCCCCATTCCAGCTATATTTTACTTTTACCTTTACTTGCTTAACCACTGTTTATCATCCAGATTAATAAATTAACTCAGTGCACGATAATCGCTTGTACCTAACAGCGTGACAGCAATTCGGCCTGACCGGATTATGCAACCGAATCTCACCAGCTGAGTGGCGGCGGAGCAGCCTACTATCATGACTAATTTGCTTTGGTGGCATTCCCTCCTTCAGCATGCAAGACAGTAATGCAGCTTCACTAGCCTAATGATGTTTCTCTAGTCGCCGAGAACCGAGATCTGCGTGGTGTTGCTCTATCCAACCAACTACTCGGATGCTTCAACTTGGATTATTTCATGGCAATATACCTATTCATTGATAAACTGGTCTATATGAACTTTATGTATATATATATATATATATATATATATATATATATATATATATATATATATATAAGGAAAAGTGAGATGTAGCTCTTGCTTACGGCTCTTAACGTTCATTGATTCGAAGTAAGGATCTGTAATCTTGCAGCATTGGTCGATGTGTACCTAAAAGCGAGCACAGATTATCAAATGATGATACTCGGCGAAGCTCATTTTTATCCGCCAGATAAAAGCTATTATTTAACCCCTACTTTCACTTGTGCAGCATATGTTTATCCACTCGCAGTTTTTGTTCTTACTTGCCCGGCACCTGTTGAGTGCCCAGGATCCCACACTTTTGTGAAGTGATGAAGATCGGCGGCCTATAACTGGCCATATAACGCTGCTTCGTCTTCCGATTCGTTTTTACGAGCTGAACTATCTGTTTACCATGTATATTTATCAAGATTGGCTACCTGATGACTCTGCAACAGCCATATTGTGACACACATAGATTGTTTGGGTTTTATGGTCATGCTTTTCACAAGATTTCGTCATACTCTCTTATGCGGCACAGTAGCTGAAGTGTTCCGCACCTCTAGCTAACGTGTATGATGATGATGACGATGACTCTACGGATTTTAATAACCTTCAACATTTGCTAAGTGGATGACACTTTCTCATACCCCTTAACCTTACCAGACCGTTGAACTGATTTTTCGATAATTTGCGTTTCTGCCGCAATACTGTTGCACCTAATTTTCGGTACTTTGCCTAGTATCTATTTTCTACAATGTCACCAATTTCTATCTTATTCTAACTACTTGTTTGCACGTTACTAGCATTTTCCCCTATCATGTTGATTTTTTCTCTTTAATGCTTAGGAGCCCAGGTTTACTGGGCAATTAAGCTTAGTGCCTCAGTTCTGGTCGGATTTATATCGAACAGATGACCGGACCAAGTAGCGGTTATCTGTCACCTTCCTTCAGCAACGATAGAGGGAGATGTTCCTGACCATGTTCATATTGCTTTATAAATTGGTGATTTTTGACCCTAACATCTTGGTCATGTCCACAGGACCTGATAAGCTGTAGTAATAACTCGTTCACTGAGCTTCTCATCGTAACCCTTGACGTGGTTTTCACGCCGATGGATCTGAAACTATTCAGTTGTCCATCCTCACCCGTTGTCTCACACTGCCCTCTCTTAGGCAATATTCAACTTCTACTGGGGGAACTTGTCATCCCACTGCTCCAATCTACTACCACCGCTGGTTGCTTGTACCTTGCGGACATTTTACACACTTTCAAACGGATTCAGCTCCCTAGCTTCACTCGACGCGACGAAATACGCATACCACGTTGGTGATTCTGTATCGTTATGATAAGACCAGTAAATAACGATTAAACCAAACGGAGGGAATTTGAGCGCATGTATTAAAGCAGAACGTCTAAGAAAAACGAGTGAAACAGCAAGGCACTGCACGTAGGAGTGTCCTTAGGCTCACTATTCCACAGGACACATTACTCCTTATCGTCGGCATAGTTCATGCGAATGGTTGCGATCAACCGGCATCTGCACCGTTCACGTTACTTTTCCATCCAAACCTGAAGTATTTATGTTTCGTCTCTGAGGTCTCCACACTTCGACAGGAGCAACGAAACTGGTTCGTAATCCAATCGCACAATGGGTTCCACAGATCAAACTGATTACCTTATCTTTATCACAAGTGTTACTTAGGGGGCCCTTACGGTCCAATAGCCAAAACGCTTGCCAGCAGATCAGAAATCATCGATGTGAGTTCCAGCCCCGACTATTTTCATCTGGAGAGTTCATATAACGCTCAAATCAGTCCAAGGACCAAATTTCCGTTGGATGACACAGAGACGTTATTAATTCAGCTTCTGGTCTTCGGGCGACATACCGCACTCAGAGCGCTTGGCCGCTTTAGCAGCATCGTCCTTGAAAAATCCGACAGTGTAGCGCACGATTTTCGGTCTTCGTTGTCTCTGGCTGATCAGAGCAACCTGTTTGCAGGCTAACAGTGCTTCGATTTCATGAAATCTGCAGCATCCATTTTTACGCCATTCCACATTCTTGTACGCACCCAAGTCTCCAAAGGCGAAGATTGTCAAATATAATTCGTAATATGCTATCTGGATGTGAACCACATCGATGGCGTTTCCCTTTATGCATTGTGCTTATCAATGCTGCGTTGCAACATAAACTTTACAACACCATACCTAACCGGCGTAACGTCATCGGCCGTATAAAGTGAAGCAATTGAGATGTTTAATAATAGTGGAAAGGCCAGAGGCTATCAAACACTTCAGGTTGATTTGGGTCTAAAGCATACGTTCACTTGGAAACCTTGCCATTAGCGTACTCCTCCATGGACATTAACACAAATATGAATATGTCTGTCTTTATTTCTTGGGTGTTGGTGACCTGTGCTCGTTTGCACTATTTCGTCACAGTATACAAACCGTTTAATGCATCATCCAATCATTTTTAAGTGCCGATGTAGTGGGCGCAGTAACACAATTTATCTGAAGTGTTCCATGACGGGCAGGTTTTGAGGCAGAAGAAACTCGGGTATCCCTCCTTCCGGTTATATTGCACGGTCAATTTCAGCTCGTAGCCTCTCAGGGGGTTATGTCTAAGTTTCACGTGGTAGTAAATGTGACTGGAGTTTTCGAAATCTGAAATGTACGTGTGAGATCACCTCTTAGACTTCATTATCTGTCACTGCACATTCCTATGGCTTTCAGTCGCGATTAGCATGAGAAATGGAATAACTTATTAACATTCTTAGTTATCTTTTGTGAGCTTTCGATTACGGTTAAACCATACTTCTGCCAGGATTGGCAAACCTCCTGTGAAGCTACACCCACGCGTTGAGCGTTTGCAAGAAAATGTAAGGAGACCAACTTGTTGATTACAAGTCTTCGACATCGGAATAGTCGTGCGTCCTCAGGCATTAATGGGGACTATCATTGCA